AGCAACGAGAGAAACTATTTTACATACTAGTGACCTGTAGAACAAGGTTTACATAATAACAAAACATGCAACAAATAAGAAAAACAAATTTACAGACATCACGAACATTTCTTGCAGGTCGGAGGTCCCATCAAGAATAGGCACAAATAACACCAGAGAAACAATGAAAGAATATTCTTTCTGCTCAAACTCATCAAATTCGTGCCCAGTCTATGTGTTTTGTTTATAACATTAGGCAAAGAGTATTGCAACATCTGGAGGCCGTAGCCTGTTCTCGAGCGAGGCGTTGACCATGTGCCAACACAACGGCCTGCATATGCAGGCACTCTCCGCTTCATATTGGCGATTGATAGAAAAACAAGTTGATTTTGCCTTACAGACGTTTGATATGTTAGAAGAAGTTTATAATTATAACACTCTGTAATTGGAACTATATGAAGGTTTTTTAAAAGTTGTGATATGTGAGCGTTGAACTCCTCATTACACATAACTCGAATTATTCTCTTCTGGAGAACATACACGTGATGCATATTTGTAACCGTTGTGCTACCACAAACAAGGAAGCAGTAATAATAGCAAGAGTAAAGGAGGGAGTTATAAAGAAGAATTAAGACCGAAAGCGGTAATATATGACGGGATTTATAAATAATGCCCACAAGTTTTGAAAGTCTGCCAGCTATGCTTTGTACTTCGGCGTCCCAGCTCATGTACACCAAGAACCTTAACATTTTGTACAAAGTCAATATTGTACATCTTGTACAAAGTCAATACAAAGTCACATCGGGCGTCCCCCAAGGATCTGTACTTGGGCCCCTTTTATTTTTAATATATCTTAATGCTTTAACGCAACCCTTGTCCTGTCTTATTCGCATGTTTGCAGACGACTGCGTCATCTACCATTCAATCACTAATGTATCAGACCAATCTGCCGTCCAAAACGACCTTAACTAAGTGCTGCAATGGTGCGACCGCTGGCTAATTTCCCTTAACTCTATTAAATGTAAAGGTATGCCCTTTCAACGCCGCCGTAATCCTCTTTTTTTTCCCTATACCGTAAATACCACCACCGTAGAATTAACCGAATAGTATAATTACTTTGGTGTCACCCTTCGCAGCGGTGTATCTTGGCGTGCCCATATTACTAACATCACCTTATCTGCTAACAAAACCCAGAGATACCTGAAACGTCAACTGCACCACGCCCTTCAGGAAATAAAACTACTGGCATACAAATAACTAATAATATTGTTACAATTTCTGCTTTCCTTTTTAACTGGTTTAATCACCGCACAGAGAGGTCCGACATCTTCGATGGCTGTCTTCCAACTGCCTCGCGCACACGCACGAGCACGACGAGCGTTCCCTTCGTCGCGTGCCGGTTGCTTCTCTTATATGTTTTTTGTTCAGCCCGCACTCAGCGTCTCCGCTACACTATCCCCCTCCCAACCTTTGAAGACCGAGCAAGTCCTACAGAAGTCCCTGATACAAACACAGCCGGTCGCGGTGGACCACGAGGGCCCGTGATCTATCCTTGCGACGTATGCGATAGACCACATCACTGAGACGTTTGATGACGATGAAAGGTCCTTGCCAGTTACGCTGCAATTTCGGAGACAGTCCTTTTTTGCGAATCGGGTTGTAAAGCCATACTCTTTCCCCTGGAGAGAACGGGCGCGTTGTGACGTGCGCGTCGTACCGGGCTTTCATGCGATCCAAGCCGCTCGCCAAACGCTGTCGAGCAAATGCGTGCACCCGCTCGAGGTTTGTTCTCAGTTCGCCTACGTAGGACGCAGGGTTTGTGGTCGGCTCTGATGCTCGTGGAAGGGCTAAATCACAGGGCATGCGAAGGTCATGACCGAAGAGCATTGTGGCAGGCGTATAGCCAGTGACCTCATGAGCAGACGTGCGATATGCATACAAAAACAAAGGCACGATGCTATCCCAGTCATCTTGCTGATCACTGACGAACATGGACAGATGTTGTAGGATCGTTCGATTCATCCTCTCGACTAAACCGTTTGACTGCGGGTGGAGAGGCGTCGTTCTTGTCTTTTTGATGTTGAACATTTCGCAGACTTCTTGGAACACCCGAGATTCGAAGCTCCTGCCTTGGTCCGAGTGGATGCTCAGGGAAACTCCATACCGTGTAATCCAGTTTGTCACCAGAGCGTCGGCGATTTCGGAGGCGGTCGGGCTCGGTATAGGAATGACTTCCGGCCACTTCGTGAAATAGTCAACAATGACCAGCAGGAACCTGTTGCCAAGCTTAGATCGAGGAAACGGTCCAAGCACATCAATGCCGACGCGTTCAAAAGGTGCTCCCGTGACATGTTCTTGAAGCGGTGCTCGCTGTTTTACGTGAGGACCTTTCCGTGAGACGCACATGTCACATAGACGGCACCATTGCTTTACGTCATTATGGCACTGTAGCCAGTAGAAGCGCTGCCGAATCTTTTTCAGGGTGCGGTTCACGCCGAAATGTCCTCCTTCAGGGCTTGTGTGCAGCTGGTGAAACGCTTGAGAGCAGAGTCTTCGTGGCAGCACCAGTTGCCATACAACAGAGTTGCCCGCAGCGGACTCCCAGCGTCGGTAAAGAACACCGTCGCGCAGCAGCAAAGAGTCCCATTGCGCCAAGTAACTCTTGAGGGCCGGAGACAGCCGAGATACTTCCTTAGGAGGGGGCCTGTTATTCTGTCTCTTCCATCTTACCAATGGGCCGATGTCCGGGTCGTCAAGTTGAGCGTTTCGGAGCTCTTCTGGCGTCCACGCTTCGTAGTCGCAGGGTAGGTTGGTTAGTGCGTTAAGCGCGTCGAAGCTGCGCTTTTCAATGCTCAAGCACTGCTTGCACTTTTCACTACATGGCCTACGAGAGAGACCATCGGCATTGGTGTGCTTTGAGCCGGAACGATGTTGTATGTCGAAGTCGTATTCATGCAGGCGTTCCAGCCAGCGGGCGACCTGACCATCAGGTGTCTTGAAGCTCATCATCCATGTCAGCGATGCGTGGTCGGTTCGAATAACAAACTTCCGGCCCAGTAGATAGTGGTCAAAATGGGTGATGGCTTTGATGGTGGCCAGCAACTCCCGTCGGGTGGTGCAATAATTGCGTTCGGGCTTCGTGAAGACCTTGCTATAGTAAGCAATGACGCGTTCTTGTCCGTCCTGCTCTTGTGATAAAACTGCGCCGATTGCCGAGGCGCTGGCGTCGGTGTCAAGAATGAAGCGTCCAGTCTCCTTCGGATACGCAAGTGTTGGCGGAGACGTGAGGGCTGTTTTGAGCGTCTCAAACGCGCGCTGGCATTCCGAGGACCAGACGAACTTCGCTTTCTTCTCAGTCAGAGCATACAAAGGCTTGGCGATGTGAGCGAAATCGGAGACGAATCTTCGATAGTACGATGCCAGTCCAATGAAGCTCTGCACGTCCGTGGTGGATCTCGGGGTTGGCCAATCAACGAGAGCAGAGAGTTTCCGAGGGTCTGTGGAAACGCCATCCACCAAAATGATGTGGCCGAGGTATTCCACTTGCCTTGTAAACAGCGAACATTTCTTCGGTGTGAGCTTCAGGTTCGCATTTTGCAGGCGTGAAAAAACCAAGTTTAGATTCGCCAGATGGTCTGTGACTGTCTTGCCGAAGACGATGATGTCGTCAAGGTATACAAGGCAAATAGTGCCTATGAGCTCGTTCAAGACCGATTCCATTAGCCTCTGAAATGTAGCTGGAGCATTGCAGATTCCAAATGGCATTACTCTGAACTGATACGAGCCGATACCTGTGGTGAAGGCGGTCTTCTCGCGGTCTTCTGGTTGCACCGGGACCTGCCAATATCCGCTTTTGAGGTCGAGTGTCGAAAACCATGTGCACCCAGCGAGGGCATCCAAGATGTCATTAGTCCGAGGAAGTGGAAAAGAGTCTTTCTTAGTGACGTCGTTGAGTTTTCGATAGTCTATGCAAAATCGAGTTGTACCGTCCTTCTTTGTCACTAGCGTAACTGGTGATGACCAGGGGGAACATGCTGGTTCAATCACGCCCTGTTGAAGCATTGTCTTCACCAAGTCGTCGACGTGAGACCTCTGTGTGAGAGGAATGCGCCGAGGGGGTTGTCGAATGGGAGAAGCCTGTCCTGTCACAATCCGGTGTGTCGCCACCGATGTCAGCCCTATATCTGCGTCTCCCGTGCTGAAAAGGCTTGTGAATTTTTCAAGCAGCTGGCAAAACCTCTCAGCATCAAGTTTATCGAGACAAGCAGACGCGCCTTCGTATAATGGTAATACGTGCGCAGCTAGCTTGATAGAGGATGTGCGAGGACAGATATACGGGAGGGTGTCGTTTATTGGCAACCCAGTGTCGTAGAGGACCGTCACTTTGGCGGCGCCTAGGGGAATCGAGTCAGTTCCGAGATGCAGCAATCCAGCGTTGAAATCGAGCACGCACTTGTGTGCTTTGAGGAAATCGACCCCAGGATGCACTGCTCCTCGATAGCGGCAACGACAACAGGCAGCGAAGCGTGAAAGCTACCCACGGTGAAGGGTACAGTTGTGGAGCCTAGTACGGCTACCATGTCTCCCGTTGCGCTTTGCAGAGCATAGCTGTCAGAGCTTTGTGGAACAGCACGATTCGCTTTCATCAAAACTTCCGGTCTAATTACCGAGGTTGTAGCTCCGGTATCAACAAGTGCGCGTACCGAAACTCCGTCGACGACGCCCTGAAGGTAGATACATGTAAGTGGTGCTGTCAGGACACGCGTTGATGTGATTATCCGCGGCGATGTTGCTGTTGGGTTCCGGCTGCTGGGGTGATACGTGGGACATTGTGCCCGCGTGTGGCCCTGCTGATGGCAGTTCCAGCAAACTGGGGCTGGAGGCGCATGTGTTGCTGTTGTCGGGGCTTGCGGCTGCGTAGGAGGCCTCAGAACCGTAGATCGTGATGCTTGTCGAGCAGCTTCTATCTCCAGCGCGCCCGTGTGCGCTGCTCGGAGAGTCTTGGGGCGTGCTAGGCGAACCGCATCCTGCACCTCAACGGAGGAGATGGCGTCAATGAACGCCATGGTTGCCACAGCGTCAATTGTGTCTTGTGGGCAACCAGGAAATGCAAGATGGGCGAGGCGCTCGATGTCGTCGGCGACTTGAGAAACTGTCTCGGTTGCAGACTGACGACGGTTGCGAAGTTGGGCGTGATGAAGAAAGCGGAGGGGTCCTTCCCCGTAGCGCTCGTTCAGTGCCGCGACCAAGGCTTCGTAGGAATCGCGGGTGTCGGGTGGTAGGTAGTGTAGTACTGTCAAAGCTGGTCCGGTTAGATGGGCGGCCAAGGCTTGTGCCTTTTGAGCCGGAGACCATTGGTTAGCGTCAGCAATGAGCTTGAACTGGGATACGTAAGGCGCCCAAGGAACGGTACCGTCGAATGTCGATGGCTTGAGACGCAGGGTTGAAAGTCGGGTAGCGTTCTGAACCGGGGGGCTTGCGGTGCGCTGCTCCTCGAGTTCAGGGAATCGAGACTCCAAGCGGTGAAAACGTTCAGTCATGGAGGCAGTGAAGTCCTGAATGGATGATGCCATAGTTTGGAGAAACAGGCTCTCTCGTCGAGCGTAGGACGCTTCGGCTTGTTGGAGCCAGCTTTTGAAGAGGGCCATGGGTTCGGACGCTGTCGGGTCTGAAGAAGCGAGATTTTCGGCGCCGGTAGTTGCGGTGTGGTCCCCTTCGGGACTGGTAGGAGGTTCCATTGCCCGGGGAAGGCGTCGGCCCGAACGGAGCTCCACTTCTGACACCAGTGTTACAATTTCTGCTTTCCTTTTTAACTGGTTTAATCACCGCACAGAGAGGTCCGACATCTTCGATGGCTGTCTTCCAACTGCCTCGCGCACACGCACGAGCACGACGAGCGTTCCCTTCGTCGCGTGCCGGTTGCTTCTCTTTTATGTTTTTTGTTCAGCCCGCACTCAGCGTCTCCGCTACAATATCAAAGCCTGAATATACATCCGCCGTCTGGGACGCTCAGCAAATATACCTCATCAACGCACTTGAAGCAGTTCAAAATCGCGCTATAGATGCATTCATTTTTCATACTCGTACAATATCAGCGAATCGCCCCTGACAGCTGAATCCGGTTTACTTAGTCTCACTTGTCGTCGCCGCACCGTCACTCTACGTTTGTCTCACAAATTATTTAATTCCCTCCTCTGTATCTCACGTTACATCGTACCTCCCACACGCGCATATCAGCGCACCAGTCATCTTCTGCAGGCTGCTCGCCCACGCGCCCGCACTGCCATTTTTTTTTCCGCGTCGTTCCTCTCCCGTGCAGTTTCACACTGGAACAACTGTCCCCACCACATTGCTGCCATCACCTGCCCATCAACCTTCCTCGAAAATTTTACCGATCATCTCTCATCTGAAGACTAGCACCTATACTCGATTATTCCGTAACGCCACCCCTTATGTAATACCCCCTAAAGGGGGTATTAAGGTAATTAAGTGAAGTGAAGTAAAGTAACGTGTTTTTAAAGCGTTTTTTTTTTCATAAAATGTTCGATATGACTATGATCACATGGGTAGGGAGCGGTCAAGAAGTAAGTTTCGAGCAAAAAATATAGTTTTTAGAGTTTGCTTGTGCCTTACAGTCTAGAGCGGTATATTATTGCGTCTGACAAAGCCGTAAATGAATTAAGTGCCTTTATATCAAAATTAGCTGGAATATTCTATGCGGAGGGCAAGTTTGTCTGCTTCTTTCGCAGGGGGTACTGGTGACGTCAGAACGCCGAGCCCTGATTGGCTGATCGCGACCCCCCACCTGAGCGTCGTCTGCTCCTTTGCAACGTCGTCTGCTCGCAACGTCGTCTGCGTCTCTCTTACCTTTCCTGGGACTTGTCTTACGCCAAAAATGTGCGTAAGACAAAACTTAAGAACAATTTCATATTCACGCAACGAAATTTTCGTAAGTTCTGCGCAGGTTACGACCAAATTCTACGACAGCTCCGAAGCTGTCTTACGGACTTCTTACGATCAAATCAGCATGGCCGACAGCGTCGCGGTCGCGACGACCCACGGACGTTTATTTTTCTACGTGCGCTTCTCACGCGTCCCGACTTCAAGCAGCAAGAAAAAAGTAAAGAGTACTTGAAACAGACCACGACGAACAAGAACGATGGTTCCACAAACACCCGGTAAAAGCTCCGACGGCCACGATTCCACCGAACGCGACCAAGCGAGCGCGGCAGTTAGGCCTAGCAGGCACTCCGCGACTCGGCGACCGTCTGCCCACGACCGGCTGGCTCGCTGAATGGAATATGCCCGCGCGAGCCTTGTGAACCCTTCCCGTATTATACTTTGATCGCCGACCTCAATTTTAGATTAAGAGGTCAATTTCTTCCTCTTGTTATCTCCTTGTTTCCCGAGGCAACGGTGACTCTCGCCGGTGAAAAAGCGGTGAATCTCCGACAGACGCAGGAAAGGTAAAGCAGCCATCGCTTTGACTAGCAGACGTAAAGCAGACGGCGTTATAACTGCGCCAACCCGCCGACGCCGTTAAAGAATGAGGGGTCTCGCCGCACACGAAAGGAAGGAAAATGTATTTGGGAGGGAACTTGCGGACACTAACACGCTAACCTCTCGGTTCTTAGCAAACAAACCTTGGCGCCTCGGGACACCTCGCGAGTGAGTCATTTGACTTCCCTCCTTGATGCGCGTCTGCTGGTTAAACAAAAACAACAAACCACTCGAGTTATTTCGTCTGCCCTCTCTGAAAGGCGAAGTCGAGCTCGCTCGTAAAGACCTGCACTTCCGAAAGTCGCAGGAAAGGTGAGACAGACGCAGACGACGTTGCGAGCAGATGACGTTGCAAAGGAGCAGACGACGCTCAGATAGGGGTCGCGATCAGCCAATCAGGGCTCGGCGTTCTGACGTCACCGCTACTTCCTTTCTCATGCGCAGAAGACGAAAATGAGCCCACTTGCGAGGCGTATAGATTACGAACCTCTATAGCGTTTCTTTTTATTTAGTGCAAGAATTAGGATTGCACTGAGTACTTACTAACTTAAGATATAAAGGGTTCATTTCTTAACCGGACATTCTCACCCCCATTACAAAACATTCTCAGCAGCTTAAATTCGATCCACAGAAAGCTAATATACATAACCTTGGCGCTGTACATTTCATTTGCCGAAGAATATAGAGCAGAAGTTAATGGAATGACGTGTTCTTAAAGCGTTTCCATTCATAAAATGTCCGATATGACCGTTATCATATGGGTAGGGAGTGGTCAAAAAAGAAAGTTACGCGCGAAAAAATATAGTTTGTAGAGTTTGCTTGTGCCTCGCACTCTGGATTGGTAAATTATTGCGCCCGACAAAGCTGTAAATAAATTAATGCCATGTGTATCCAATTTAGCTAGAATATTCTATAAATTGCTAGCCTCTAAAACGTTTTATTTATTTATTTATTGAAAAATTAGGTTCGCACTGAGTACCTACTACTTACTAACCTAAGAAATAAAAGGTTCATTCTCTAAGCCGACATTTTTAACCCACAATATACAACATTTTCAGGCAGCTTAAAATCGACCCACAGAAATCTCATATGCCGTAAGCCTTGGCGCTGTAAACTTCATTTTTCAAAGAAAATACAGCTGAAGTGAAGTAAGTAACGTGTTCTTAAAATGTTTCCATTTATAAAATGTTCGATATGACCGTGATCACATGGGTAGGGAGTGGTCAAAATAGTAAGTTTCGCGTGAAAAATATGTTTGTAGAGTCTGCTTGTGCCTCACTCAGACTTGTACACGTTACTGAAAAATAGTAAGGAATTACATTTACAATTACTCAAGGCTGAATTGTAATTTATTACAATTACAATTACCCTCGCATAAAAGTAACTGACCGTTACTCCAAAAAGTAATCCGTTACTTTCGTGGCGTTACTTTCAACATTATTGTCCTCAAGTAAGAAACAAAGGGAAGGGGGTTATTCAAGTTCTTATTGTTGCAAGTTGTTCCATTTAATGACCCTGAGTATTTTGAGCAACAGCTGGCACTCGAAAATCTCGCCAGACATTTTGGGTTATTTCTTACTCAATATGTCGACTGCTACGCTGAACACCCACTGAACTGAGGCACTGGATGGGACTGCCTTATTGTTCGTGATCAATGCTTTATGGTCTGCATTGAGCTTCTTCAGCGAAGCAATGGAAGTACTATTTACCTCGAAGATAGAACAAAGCTTTGTCGTTGCAGCCGTTGCTTGATAAAAGAGAGTTCCAGTAAATCGTTTCGATTCCTCCGATGCCCCCGATAACAATATGATTCATGCGCAAAGGCGGTGGCGGTGTATCGGGTATCGTTATCGGAGTCATCGGACCGATCTACTAAAATTCTCCATTGTCTAAATCGCAAAGCTGTGGAAGTCATCATGTCATCTAGCCAAAACTAGAATAAGAACTGATTTATGTCCATCTTGCTATACCTCCATATATTGGCAGGCAATAACAAAACATAGTTGTAACAGTAAGGTGATAATTAAATAATAAATAAGGTTTGGCTCCATATTCTTTTTCCTTTGGTTATGAAGAGGTCGAGCCTCGGTTGAGATGTTGGTGAATACAAACAAAGCGCCTAGTATATAAATATAAGTACTAAAAAAAAACGACACTCATAACAACTTAGAGCGTCGGTTAAAACAAGGTAATGTGGGTACACACGTTTACCGTGTGTACCTTTTTGGTGCCGTTCAAAACCGCATGGAGCACGAACCGACTGCAGTTTACTCCGGTGTTCTCCAGATAGACGTCCGCTGATGCCACGGGCAGCGAAGGGCAGAGTACTAAGTAAACCGCGCTATGGCCCCACTCACGAGTTTCACTCACCCCTCAAGCACTGAATATCAAGTCTACGTCAGCCACCATTATGTTTTATTTGTAAAAATATCTGCTTGAGATGAGATGCGTCCTGCTGGGGCAAAACAGAAAAAAGAAGAAAGGAAGACTATTACCATTTTCCAAGTGCTCTCAAAAAGCTGACTCATAAAAGGGTGACTGAGATGCAGATAACCAGGCTGGAATTCACAAATAAAGAGGTTCAACCCTAGAGGTTAAGTAGCTTTTAAAACGGCGTCAAATAATCTGAAAGATGCAGAAAAATATACATCCTGTTTTCTAAGAGAAGATGATAAGTGTGCAGCGACGAACGAGGATGCTTGCGGCAATAACACCTTCACATATTATCACATCTCTTCTGGTGGATTTTAGAGCAGACGGAGCGTTGTCTCTTGTTGTGACATTATAAAAATGGTCGTAGTCCCTATAACCGAGAAGGACATTGTTAATTTTTTTGTCCACTTACCACCTCGAGCTTCTCGAAGAGGCACACAATCACTTGTGTCCTCCTCTCCCAGTTTTCGATCGCAAAGAAAAAACAAAGGGACTAAAAAAAGCGGATATAACTTGCCCCCTCCCTCCTTTTTCTTTTTTTTTTTTTTTGTAGAAATGTTTATTTGGATTTTTTTAATTGTTGTTAGGGTCTAAAAAAAATAGATTCAAATCTATTTATAATCAAAAGAAAATAGGCTTGGTGTTGCAAAACAAAAAAGGCATTGCGGAACTGAAGAGTCCCACGCCTCCCTTTGCGCTGGTCAATTCGCGTGACAGTGTCACTGCGCTCGACTTTACAAAATTAAAAACAACCCTTTCTTTAGAAGGGGGGGGGGGGTTGGTCCTGGAAAAAAATGTAACGGAT